TTTTTTTTTTTTTGCCATCCTAATTTCGTTTGTTTCTTTTTCAATCTTCTTCTTTTTATTTTAATTTTTTTTATTAAATACAAATTGATTCCTTTGTTTGTTTCTTTGTTCAATTTTTATTTTTATTTTTTTGGCTTATTTAACTTAGTTTGTGATTAATTCATTTCATTATATGAGTTCTAAAATTAATGAAAAAATCTTAAGGATTTTGCACATAAATTGAATTGGAAATGGAAGGTTGGAGTTGGAGAAGATGAACAATGGCACCGTAGGAGGAAAAGTAGTTTCCAATTTAATTGCCTTTAATTAATATTCAATTAAAACCTTTAATTACAAGTTACAAATTTTAATTATTTAAATCTATTAATACTTTCCCTCTTAAGAGGAAAGACAAAGTAATTCTTATATAAGAATAATAAAATTATAAATATTGATGTAAGGCCTACCATATGAAAAAGATAATAGGTAGGAGAGGATGAAAATATGACTAATTAGAGTAAAAAATGACAATTCATTAAAATTTAACGTATTTTTTTCCACGTCATTAGTAAAAGAAGAAGAAGAAGATAGATTTCGTAACAATTTAAGAAGTGATACATCCAGAGTCGACTATAAATGATCAAAATTCAACTTCTAAATTCCAAAGAGCTGGGAATATCTTAGTGCAAGACATAGTTGACTATCTATGTAAAGAGTCAACTCTTGAGCAGTAAAGAGTCGAATCTATGATGATAGATTCGACTTTTGAGCCTTCGAGAATCAACTATATAAGCTCAACATTTAACTCTCAAATTCCAGAGAGTTGTTAACATCCTAGTGCATGGCATTGTCAACTCTCTATGTAAAGAGTCGATCCTTGAACAGTAAAGAGTCGACTCTAAAAATCTAGATTTGACTTTTAAGCCTTTAAGAGTCGATTATATAAGGTCAACATTCGACTATCAAATTTCAAAAAATTGAGAACGTTATGGGTGCTGGGTATAGTTGAGTCTCTTTGTTAAGAGTCGACTCTTAATTTTAAAAGTCAATTATTGGCCAAAAAAATTGACATAATTTTATGGGTTTAAGTACCATTTTGGTCCCTCAACTTTTTACTTTAGCACCAAAATTGTCCCTCACTTTAAAAAGCACCAAAATTATCCTCAGACTTTCATTTTCGATACCAAAATGGCACATTAAAATGCCAGCAAATCAATTCTTTTTTTTTTTCCTTAACTAATGACATGGAAAAAAAAAGAAAACATAGTTGCCATTTTTTTATGAGTTGGCATTTTCATTTAATTTAAAAATAATAATTCTTTTTTTTTTTCATCCACGTTAGATTTCTTCTTCCTCTTTCCTTTTCGCTCTCCTTTGCCTTTCCTTCTCTCTTACCTCTGCAAACCCAAGCTCTGGGTTTTCTCAAACGGCCAAAAAGCAAGTGATGATCGTCATCATGGACGACAGCGAGCCAAACCTTCTGCTACTACTGTCGTCGGCCTTCTTCTTCTTTTCTCGAACCCAGATCTGGATTTGAGAGAAGAAGAAGAAGGTTGACGGCAATAGTAGTAGAAGGACTCAAATCTGGGTTTGCAGTTTAAATTAAATCAAAATAAACCAGCTCCAACTCAGTTAAAATTTGTTCAAATCAGCACAAAGAGGATCCAAAAGTCAATCGAAAACACTGAATACAAATTAGACTGAAAACACACCTTACTATCTGCCAGCTATCAGGAGAGATATGCTCACATTGACTTCAGATCCAAAAGGCAAAAACACGACAAACCTAGACCATCTCAGATACAAGCACTAATACTTCAAGAATCTAGCATTAGATAAGCATATCAATAACGCATACAAAGAACAGCAAGGGTTTAGATGAGATGGGATTGCGGCTGTAATAACTGTACAGATGGCAGAGCAGCGTGGGCAAGATAGCTGTCAACAGAGACTTAATGCAGCGGCTTGAAAATGGTGGCTCATGAATATTGGACTGCAGCAACGAAATCCGAGGAGAAAAGGGAGGCAGCTAGAGGTTTCTGACAACATAAATTCATTGGGCATAGTAGCGTAGGGAAGACAGAACTCCGAGATGGATAGATCTGGAATGGACAGATCTGGAATGAAGACAAAACATGCGAGATTGAAAGAAAATCGACATCATTAGCCGTTAGGGATTTCAATTTGGGGTTTCATGAGTAGGATTTTTACAGGAGGAGAGAGGTGTTTTTGACCGTAGGGGATGGGTTTGGGAAAAATGGATGGGACTGGGAACGACTTTTGGATTTGGTTTTACCAATATGCAGTACAAAAAATCTAGTTTCTTTTTTTCTTTTTCTTTTTCTTTTAGGAAAACAAAAAATTTAATTTCCCAAATCTGGGTTTGAGAGAGGAAGAATAAGGGAGAAGAGAGAGAGAAAGAATAAGAAGAAGAAAGAAGAAGGATGAGCAGGGAAAAGAAGGATGAAGGTTGATAGAGAATGAGGAGACAAAACTATTGAAGGAGGAAAGGAGGAAGAAGATAAAGTTTGACAAAGAGAACCCAGATCTGGGTTTGCAAAGGTAAGGGAATCGGAAAGGTAAGGGAGGGAGAAAGTGAAAGAGGAAGAAGAGATGACATGGATGAAAAAAAAATCATTATTTTTAAATTAAATCAAAATGTCAACGCATAAAAAAAAAGATAATTTATGTTATTTTTTTCCACATCATTAGTTAAGCAAAAAAAAGAATTGATTTGTTGGTATTTTAAAGTGCCACCTGTCATTTAATTGACGGAAGGACCATTTTGGTATCGAAAATGAAATTCTAAAGATAATTTTAGTACTTTTTAGAGTTAAGGGACAATTTTAGTGTCAAAGTGAAAAGTTGAGGGACCAAAATGGTACTTAAACCTAATTTTATGTGAAATGTTTATGTAGCCTTATATGTGTCATAACTCAAATTTTTAATGAAATTTTTATTTTTACTAATGTTTTTTTATTTTTGTTTTCCTTGTTAGGTTCGTGAGCAAAAAGGGGATTTTATGAAGAGGATTGGAAAAGAAGATGAGAGAATGGACTCAATTAAAGAAATGAAAAGTTGGAGGGATGAAGTTCATCAAGACAAATTTACAAACCCAACCCAAATCTCAATAATGAGCCCATTAAAGCCAAACCCAATCCAACACCAACCCATTTCAATTTAGAGCCAATTAACTATTCCAGCCCAAACCCAATCCCAAACTCACCGTTTTCATATAAACATAAAAACCAAAAAATGCGAAAGTCTTCTTCCTCACCTACACCACACTCACCCTCACTCTCGGCCTTCTCTCTCTCATCTCCCGAATCTTCCTTTCAGCCGGCGACTGAGCTTCCCTTCCATACCCAAAACCTCTTGGATTTCCTCTTCCCCTTCCACGCTACCCTTGGCTTCTCTCTTCCTTCGGTTTCCTCTTTCTTTCTTCATGCAGATCCTCGACCTCGCCCTTCTCTTCCCGTTGCAGAGCAACCGGCAGCCATCTCCCAAAAGGCGACCGGCAACCATTTTCTTTCTCCTTCTCCTTCTCCTTCTCCAATCGTCGGTTCCTTTCTTTTGATCTCACCATCTCCGACTCCCTTCCACATCAAAGTCCCTGGTTGCAATCAATCGGGAAGCCATCACCCACACTCACCTTCTCGAACCACTGCCGCAGTGCCGCATCACCTACGCCTGGCGAGTGAACAATAGAACAGGAGCAAATGAAGCTTCCTGAGAACTCCCAGTTTGACTGCAGATCTGATCAGTTTCTGCTCAGATCATTCTTTCAGCTAAAAAGGGATTCGATATGGGCTGTTTTTCTGCATATCAAGGCCCAAAATCACATTTCAAAAGTCCGGGATATGAAGATCCAAATGGGCAGTTCCAACGAGTATTGGCCTGTTGAGTGTTTTAGATTCTAGGGTTTTTCCCTTACTTGGCCAAAAGCCTACTTGAACCTCTATCTTATCAAGTTTATTTTATATTATAATATTTTTATTTTTTTTTTTAACTTATAAATTTTAAATACTCAAGTTATTTTTTTGTTATTTATTTATTAAA